TCCTGAGTAAACATCTTCTCTGCTCCACACTCACCAAGAGAGGTGAGAGGGTCTGGCACATGACAAGGGCAGAGAGGCTTAGGTATCAAACTGGAAGCCCCTGCATAGGAAACAGTGTGGGAAATGGGCTTGAGGTTTCCTTCACACATTGTGTTTGGGCTCAAAACTCGCCACACCCAGGACATAAGCCTCAGTTACCTACACCGTGCATTTTCCTCCCCTCCTGCACCAGCCTCTCCTTCTGAACTGTAGGAGCTGCTGGTAATGGCTCCTCAGCCCTCCATTCTCCTGTCTTTCTAAGCTCTTAACAGAATCTCCACCCAGCACACTCAAACGCACGCTTTCTAAAAAAGGTTTAATTCATTTTTAGGGAGGGTAAGGGAGTGAGAAAGAGAGGGCGAGAAACATCAGCGTGAAAGAGAAACATCAATCAGTTGCCTCTCACACCCAACCCAGGCATGTGCCCCAACGGGGAGTAGAACTGGCGACCTCTCCTTTGCAGGATGATGCCCAACACGCCGGAGCCACGCTGGTCAAGGCCTATACATGCTTCTCTAAGGTCTCTCAGAGCCAAATTCCACTTGTCACGGTCTTAATTTTTGCCACATAGATGCTCCGGCCTTAAGATGGAAACACAAAAGAATTTCTACTCTGTTTATGCTGTGAGATAGAACCAAACGCATGACATCTGTTTACTGTCCATTCTAGGTCTCCCTGGGTCCCCCCTGCTACTTCCAGAGTAGCCCCCACTTCCCGCCTTTAATACCCAGCTCCTCGCACACATGGCATCAGAACATGGCCCTTTGTGGCTGCACTTATTGTGACTTCTGTACCTTCACATCCATCCTCACTCACTTCTTCTCCCCACTGGTGAAGATGTCACCATTGCAGACGTCATCGTCAGGGAGACAATTTCTACATGGGTCTGGCTTCTCGGTTTCTTGGCCTTCTCTTTCAATAGTTATGACCTCCATTCCTTCTCACAGGCACTTCAGTAATTCCAGGCTGTGGAATAAACAACAACAAAGAAGCACCATTCAAAATTTCCACTTCAATCATCTCATTCTCCTACCTTTTCTTATTTGTTTTCCTCTCACTAACTCAGCACCATCCTCCTAAGATTCCTTTAGCCACTGACCCTCAGTTCATGTATCTAACAGCTTTTAAACTCCCATTGTCTTAGTCCTCACATCGTCTCAACCAGTGTCAAGGTTTAAGACCGTAGTATCACCCCTGGTCAACCCATCTTCCTCTTGGCAGCTGTGGATGGCTAAGTAGGAGTCCCTGAGTCTCTGAGAGAATTTTGTAGTGATCATGACACATATTGGTCACCATCAAAAATTCTCTGATACTAAAGAGCATTCCATTTTTTCACTGCTATGCATGGGAAATGCATAGGTCAGGAGGATGTTCTGCTTACATTTGAAGAACGTATTTCCCCTGACTTGGTGTGCTGGTGTTTTTTTTTATTAAATTAGAGAAAGTTTGTAATGATATAATACTAAACAATGACATTCAAAATATTCATTTGATCCATTATGTAAAAATATACCTACATCAATAAAGAAAACAGAGAAATAGAGTTAGATTTACATCTACTGATGTATAGGAGAGGTTGCATATTTTATCAAATCTAAAAAATTTCAAGAAAATGTATAGAAGCTGCTTCTACATTGATTAAATAATGATATGCCTTTCATATATGCCATTTTTTAGTATAAATTTATATGAGCCAAAACAAATCTATGAAAGGTTATAGATCAGTTCGTTTTCTAGTAATTCAACATAGTGGGGTGGAGAGGACTGAGGGGTGTTCCCCGGCCTTGTGTTACATACCGCTCTTTCTCACTTGTTGCTGAGGTAACTTGTGAAATACTACTTTTTAAAATTCTTGGAGGGCATAGGGAATCTTTTTTTAGTAAAAGGAGGATTCTCAGCTATGAAGAAAAGACATGTGGAAATCAGAGCAGAGAAGGGTGGTAAAGGCCAGAGAGATGACTGAGTTTCTCAGCACAGAGAGCCCTGGTGCGGGGTCACATCCCAGGACACGTGTGACTATTCCAGGGATCTGCTGCACAGAGCTGATGTTCGCCTTGGGGGGGGCGGTCCCATGTGATGACAGAGAGCAAGTCACTCTCCACCTGTTGGAGTCCAAAGGGAGGAGAAGCCCGGCCACTGTGTTCACAGTCACAAGGACCTTGTTGGGTGAAGCCTCCCCTGCCCAATCCCCGCCATGGCCACCGGGCTCCTCTGCTGGGTGGCTCTTGTCCTCCTGCGAGTCGGTGAGTCCTTTGAAATTAACACTGTAAATTTGTTTATATTTTCCCTGTTCTGTGCCCATTTCTGTTTCTTATCCTGTTCCCTAACTCCATCTCTTCCACAGAGCCCACACATGCTGGGGTCACGCAGATACCCAGGCACAAGGTGACAGAGATGGGACAAAACGTAACTCTGAGTTGTGACCCAATTGCAGGCCATAGTGGACTTTATTGGTACAGACAGACCGTGGGGCAGGGACTGAAGTTTATGATTTACTTCCTCAATCGAAGTCCTGCAGAGGATACAGGGATGCCCAAGAAGCGGTACTCAGCTCAGAGGCCTACTGGGTCACGCTCCACTCTGAAGATCCAGTCCACAGAGCCGGGGGACTCAGCCGTGTACCTCTGTGCCAGCAGCTTCGCCACAGCGCTGCACAGTCGCCCCCTCCCTGTGCAGAAACCTCAGCTTCCCCTTCTCTCATCAGCCACCAGGGGTCCTAGTACATGTCTTTTCTGGTTTCTCACCAACAGACATTCATGGGTTTGGAACATGACAAGGACAGAAGGGCTGAAGTATCAGCCTAGAACCCCCTACATAGGACAGAATGTGGGAAATCGGCTTCCGGAATCCTAACACATTGCCTGTGGGCTCAACACTTGCCACACCTGAAACATAAATCTGAGTGTCTGCACTGTGCATTTTCCAACCTTCCTGCACCGGCCTCTCCTTCTGAACTGTAGGAGTGGCTGGTAATGGCGCCTCAGCCCTCTACTCTCCTCTCCCCCTAAGCTCTCAACAGAATTTCCACGCAATATACACAAACACATGTTTTTTTTTAAAAAAAGTTTCATTTATTTTTAGGGAAGAAGAAGGAAGTGGGAAAGAAAGGGCTAGAAACATCAACGTGGAATGGAAATAGCTTTTGATTGCCTCTCATACACACAACCCAGGCATGTGCCCCGACTGGGAAGAGAATTGACGACCTTTCCTTTGCAGGATGGTGCCCAACACACCAGAGGCACACTGGTCCAAACCCATACATGCTTCTCTAAGGTCTCTCATAGCCAAATTCCACTTGTCAGGGTCTTAATTTTTGTCACAAATGCCATGACCTTTAAGGTGGAAATGCAAAAAGAATTTCTACTGTGCTTACGCCGTGAGAAAGAATCAAACCCATTGAGTGTAAACACTACGCATTCTATGTGTTCCTGGGTCCTCCCTGCTCCTTCCAGACCAGCTCCCCGCTCTCTGGCTTCAATACACAGCTCCTCACACACATGGCATCAGAACATGGCTCTTTGTCACCACACTTATTGCTACTTCTCTACCTTCAGATCCGTCCTCACTCACCTCTTCTCTCCCCTGGTAAAGCTGTCACCATTGCAGACGTCATCGTCACACGGACAATTTCTACATGGGTCTGGCTTCTCGGTTTCTTGAACTCCTTACTCTCAATAATTATTACCTCCATTCTGTTTCAGATGCATTTCAGTAATTTCAGGCTGTGAAAAAACAACAAACAAGTACCTTCCTGAATTTCCATTTTAATCATCTAATTCTCCTACCTTATCCTATTTGTTTCCTCTCATTAATTCAACACCATCCTCCTAAGATTCTTTTAGCCACGGACCCTCAGATCATGTACTTTACAGTTTTTAAACTCTCATGTTCTTAACTCTCACATAGTATAAACCAGGTTCAAGGTTTAAGACCACAGTATCACCCCTGGTCAACCCATCTTCCCCATGGCAGCTGTGCATGGCTAAGTGGGTGTGTATGAGTCACTGAGAACCTTTTGAGTGATCATGACGTAGCCTGGCCACCGACAGGGATTCTCTGATACTCACTAAAGAGCATACTGATGGTTCACTGCTGTGCATGGGAATTGCATAGATCAGTAGGACGCTTTGCTTCCATTTAAAGAGTGTTATTTGGCTGACCTGGAGTGTTTGTGTATTTTTATTAAATAACAGAAACTTTGTAATGGTACAGTACCTACAAAGTGAAGCTCAAAATATACAATATGATCCCACTTAAATGAAAATATACCTATATGAACAAAGAGAGGAAGTACATAACTAGAGTAAGGTTTACATCTATTGATATATAGGCCTGTGTATATATTGTGTCAAATTTAAAAATTACTAGACAGTATGTAGAAGATACTTCTGCTCTGATTAAAAAAGAGATATCTCCTTCATGTATGACATGTTTGAGTATAAATTTACATGAGCCAAGACAAATCTATGGAAGGTTATAGATCAAGTTCACGTTCTAGTAATTCAACATAGTGGGATTGGAGGAAGGACTGAGGGGTGTTCCTGGCCTTGTGTTACATACCGCTCTTTCTCACTTGTTGCTGAGGTAACTTGTGAAAAATTACTTTTCAAAATTCTTGCAAGGCAGAGGGAATCTTTTTTTAATAAAAGGAGGATTCTCAGCTATGAAGAAAAGAGATGGAAATCAGAGCAGGGAGGGGTGGTAAAGGCCAGAGACATGACTGAGTTTCCCAACACAAAGAGCCCTGGCGCGGGGCCCCATCCCAGGACACATGTGACCGTCGCAGTGACCTGCTGCGCAGAGCTGATGTTCGCCTTGGGGAGGTGGTTCCACTTGCAATGACAGAGAGCAAGTCACTCTCCACCTGGTGGAGCCCAGAGGCAGGAGAAGCCCGGCCACGGTGTTCATAGTCACAAGGGTCTGGTTGGGTGAAGCTTCCTCCTGTCCACCACACCCCCGCCATGGCCACCGGGCTCCTCTGCTGGGTGGCCCTTTGTCTCCTGCGAGTAGGTGAGTCTCCAGAGATTGAAAATCTGCATTTTTTTTGATATTCCCAATTCTGTGTCCATTTCTGTTTCTTATCCTGTTCCCAAACTCCATCTCTTCCGCAGAGCCCACACATGCTGGGGTCACCCAGACACCCAGGCACGAGGTCACAGAGACGGGACAAGACGTAACTCTGAGTTGTGAGCCAATTTCCAGTCATACCTATCTTTACTGGGACAGACAGACCTCGGTGAAGGGACTAGAGTTTATGATTTATTTCGGCAGCCAAACTGTCGTAGACGACACAGGGATGCCCAAGAAGCGGTACTCAGCTCAGATGCCTAATGCTTCGTTCTCCACTCTGAAGATCCAGTCCACAGAGCCGGGGGACTCAGCCGTGTGCCTCTGTGCCAGCAGCTTCGCCCCAGCGCTGCACAGTCGCCCCCTCCCTGTGCAGAAACCTCCTGCTTCCCCTGCTCTCATTGGCCACCAGGGGTCCTGAGTAAACGTCTTCCTTTTTCTCACCAAGAGACATGTGTGGGATTGGGACATGGCCAGGATTGAAAGGCTTAGGTGTCAACCTAGACCCCTGCATAGGAAACAATGTAGGAAATTGGAGTTAGGAAATCCTTACACATGGTAGCTCCAAACTCACCACATCTGAGAGATAGATCTTAATTACCCTCATGTTCATTTCCTGCCATTTTGCATTGCCCTCCATCTGAACCGGGGGAGCTCCTGGTATGGCTCCTCAGCCCTCCATTCTCTTCCTCTTCTATTCTGCTAACAAGATTTTCCCCTCCCTACACACGTTTTCTAGAGTTCTATCATGTGGACAAATTCAACTTCTCAATGTCTTTCTTTTGGTATCCTGCATCCCTTAACTTCAATATGAAAACAGAATAACATTTCTAGTGTATTTATGCCAGAAGACATACACTGCTTCTATATTCAATTTTAATCCATTCATTGTCCTCCTGATCCTATCTGCTGCTTCTAGAACATCCCCCTCTCTCCGGCTTTAATACCCAGCTCTTCACACACACGGATTAGAATATTGGCCTTTGTTGTGAAACTTACTTCTCTGCAGTCAGCTCTGTCCTTCTTCACTTCCCTTCGCACTACTGATCCTGTCGTCACTGGTGACATCATCCTTACCACTCTGACAATTTATATGCGGGTTTGGTTTCTCAGTTTCTGACATCCGCACATTCAGTAACAGTTTGCTTCCCGTCTTTTCCAATGAACTTCCAAGTGTAGACCATGGAGTGAACAACAAATAACCTCCTTCCATAATTTCCATTTATCCTTCCAGGCTCTGATCTTTTTCTCCTTTCTTTCTTAAACGCAAAATCATCTTACAATGACATTACAGTCACTGACCTCCCACCCATGTATCCAACTATGTTGAAACTCTCCTGTCTTCTCTCTCACATTGTCTAAACTACATAAAATAATTCATACTATAAGGTCAACACTGGGTAAATCCAAGGCCAAATTCCGGGGCATCTGTATAGTTCCCTTCATATTGACCATGGTGGGCAATCCAAATGTTTCTAGGAGGGACTGGGTAAAACCGCAGCTCAGCCAGAAATGACTTTGATTTGTGTGTCTGGGAGTCAGGGGCTGCTGAGGGGACGATGAAGGACTTGTGGCCTGGAGTACGGTCTTGGTGCCCAGGATGTGCAGTGCCGACGGCACACCCGCGCAGATATGCCCCGCAGACAGTAGACACGCAGTGCAGCAGAGAAGAAAGAATGGTGGAAGCACAGATTGTGAGACCTGTTTGTTGTATAAAGCCTTGGAGACTTTAATGATTGGAACAAACCTCAGAGGAGACAGGACCTACTCCAGTCAATGCTTCTGAAGAGGATTATTATCCACGTTTGGGAGGAGGCCCTGTGAGAAATCACAGAGAACAATGTCACGACCAAGCCACACTCCACCTCGTGGAGCCCAGAGGAAGTAGAGGCCCTGCCCCTGTGTTCATGCTCACAAGGGCCTCGTCTGGGAGAAGCCTCCTCTGCCCAGTCCCCGCCATGGCCACCAGGCTCCTCTGCTGGGTGGCCCTTTGTCTCCTGGGAGTAGGTGAGTCCCCAGAAATTAACAATCTGCATTTTTAAAAAATATTCTGAGATCTGTGTCCATTCATGTGTCTTATCCTGTTCCCAAACTCCGTCTCTTCCGCAGAGCCCACACAAGCTGGGGTCACCCAGAGACCCAGGCACGAGGTGACAGAAATGGGACAAAACGTAACTCTGAGTTGTGAGCCAATTTCAGGCCACAATGATCTTTACTGGTACAGACAGACCTCAGTGCAGGGACTAGAGTTCATGATTTACTTCAGCAATCGAAGTCCCATGGACGACACAGGGATGCCCAAGAAGCGGTACTCAGCTCGGATGCCTAATGCTTCGTTCTCCACTCTGATGATCCAGTCCTTGGAGCCGGGGGACTCAGCCGTGTACCTCTGTGCCAGCAGATTAGCCACAGCGCTGCACAGTCGCCCCCTCCCTGTGCAGAAACCTCAGCTTCCCCTTCTCTCAGCAGCTGCCAGGGGTCCTGAGTAAACATCTTCTCTGCTCCACACTCACCAAGAGAGGTGAGAGGGTCTGGCACATGACAAGGGCAGAGAGGCTTAGGTATCAAACTGGAAGCCCCTGCATAGGAAACAGTGTGGGAAATGGGCTTGAGGTTTCCTTCACACATTGTGTTTGGGCTCAAAACTCGCCACACCCAGGACATAAGCCTCAGTTACCTACACCGTGCATTTTCCTCCCCTCCTGCACCAGCCTCTCCTTCTGAACTGTAGGAGCTGCTGGTAATGGCTCCTCAGCCCTCCATTCTCCTGTCTTTCTAAGCTCTTAACAGAATCGCCACCCAGCACACTCAAACGCACGCTTTCTAAAAAAGGTTTAATTCATTTTTAGGGAGGGTAAGGGAGTGAGAAAGAGAGGGCGAGAAACATCAGCGTGAAGGAGAAACATCAATCAGTTGCCTCTCACACCCAACCCAGGCATGTGCCCCAACGGGGAGTAGAACTGGCGACCTCTCCTTTGCAGGATGATGCCCAACACGCCGGAGCCACGCTGGTCAAGGCCTATACATGCTTCTCTAAGGTCTCTCAGAGCCAAATTCCACTTGTCACGGTCTTAATTTTTGCCACATAGATGCTCCGGCCTTAAGATGGAAACACAAAAGAATTTCTACTCTGTTTATGCTGTGAGATAGAACCAAACGCATGACATCTGTTTACTGTCCATTCTAGGTCTCCCTGGGTCCCCCCTGCTACTTCCAGAGTAGCCCCCACTTCCCGCCTTTAATACCCAGCTCCTCGCACACATGGCATCAGAACATGGCCCTTTGTGGCTGCACTTATTGTGACTTCTGTACCTTCACATCCATCCTCACTCCCTTCTTCTCCCCACTGGTGAAGATGTCACCATTGCAGACGTCATCGTCAGGGAGACAATTTCTACATGGGTCTGGCTTCTCGGTTTCTTGGCCTTCTCTTTCAATAGTTATGACCTCCATTCCTTCTCACAGGCACTTCAGTAATTCCAGGCTGTGGAATAAACAACAACAAAGAAGCACCATTCAAAATTTCCACTTCAATCATCTCATTCTCCTACCTTTTCTTATTTGTTTTCCTCTCACTAACTCAGCACCATCCTCCTAAGATTCCTTTAGCCACTGACCCTCAGTTCATGTATCTAACAGCTTTTAAACTCCCATTGTCTTAGTCCTCACATCATCTCAACCAGTGTCAAGGTTTAAGACCGTAGTATCACCCCTGGTAAACACATCTTCCTCTTGGCAGCTGTGGATGGCTAAGTAGGAGTCCCTGAGTCTCTGAGAGAATTTTGTAGTGATCATGACACATATTGGTCACCATCAAAAATTCTCTGATACTAAAGAGCATTCCATTGTTTCACTCCTGTGCATGGGAAATGCATAGGTCAGGAGGACGCTCTGCTTACATTTGAAGAACGTATTTCCCCTGACTTGGTGTGCTGGTGTTTTTTTTTTATTAAATTAGAGAAAGTTTGTAATGATATAATACTAAACAATGACATTCAAAATATTCATTTGATCCATTATGTAAAAATATACCTACATCAATAAAGAAAACAGAGAAATAGAGTTAGATTTACATCTACTGATGTATAGGAGAGGTTGCATATTTTATCAAATCTAAAAAATTTCAAGAAAATGTATAGAAGCTGCTTCTACATTGATTAAATAATGATATGCCTTTCATATATGTCATTTTTTACTATAAATTTATATGAGCCAAAACAAATCTATGAAAGATTATAGATCAAGTTTGTTTTCTAGTAATTCAACATAGTGGGGTTGGAGGAAGGACTGAGGGGTGTTCCCCGGCCTTGTGTTACATACCGCTCTTTCTCACTTGTTGCTGAGGTAACTTGTGAAATACTACTTTTTAAAATTCTTGGAGGGCTTAGGGAATCTTTTTTTAGTAAAAGGAGGATTCTCAGCTATGAAGAAAAGACATGTGGAAATCAGAGCAGAGAAGGGTGGTAAAGGCCAGAGAGATGACTGAGTTTCTCAGCACAGAGAGCCCTGGTGCGGGGTCACATCCCAGGACACGTGTGACTGTCCCAGGGATCTGCTGCACAGAGCTGATGTTCGCCTTGGGGGGGCGGTCCCATGTGATGACAGAGAGCAAGTCACTCTCCACCTGTTGGAGTCCAAAGGGAGGAGAAGCCCGGCCACTGTGTTCACAGTCACAAGGACCTTGTTGGGTGAAGCCTCCCCTGCCCAATCCCCGCCATGGCCACCGGGCTCCTCTGCTGGGTGGCTCTTGTCCTCCTGCGAGTCGGTGAGTCCTTTGAAATTAACACTGTGAATTTGTTTATATTTTCCCTGTTCTGTGCCCATTTCTGTTTCTTATCCTGTTCCCTAACTCCATCTCTTCCACAGAGCCCACACATGCTGGGGTCACGCAGATACCCAGGCACAAGGTGACAGAGATGGGACAAAACGTAACTCTGAGTTGTGAGCCAATTGCAGGCCATAGTGGACTTTATTGGTACAGACAGACCGTGGGGCAGGGACTGAAGTTTATGATTTACTTCCTCAATCGAAGTCCTGCAGAGGACACAGGGATGCCCAAGAAGCGGTACTCAGCTCAGAGGCCTACTGGGTCACGCTCCACTCTGAAGATCCAGTCCACAGAGCCGGGGGACTCAGCCGTGTACCTCTGTGCCAGCAGCTTCGCCACAGCGCTGCACAGTCGTCCCCTCCCTGTGCAGAAACCTCAGCTTCCCCTTCTCTCATCAGCCACCAGGGGTCCTAGTACATGTCTTTTCTGGTTTCTCACCAACAGACATTCATGGGTTTGGAACATGACAAGGACAGAAAGGCTGAAGTATCAGCCTAGAACCCCCTACATAGGACAGAATGTGGGAAATCGGCTTCCGGAATCCTAACACATTGCCTGTGGGCTCAACACTTGCCACACCTGAAACATAAATCTGAGTGTCTGCACTGTGCATTTTCCAACCTTCCTGCACCGGCCTCTCCTTCTGAACCGTAGGAGTGGCTGGTAATGGCGCCTCAGCCCTCTACTCTCCTCTCCCCCTAAGCTCTCAACAGAATTTCCACCCAATATACACAAACACATGTTTTTTTAAAAAAAAAGTTTCATTTATTTTTAGGGAAGAAGAAGGAAGTGGGAAAGAGAGGGCTAGAAACATCAACGTGGAATGGAAATAGCATTTGATTGCCTCTCATACACACAACCCAGGCATGTGCCCCGACTGGGAAGAGAATTGACGACCTTTCCTTTGCAGGATGGTGCCCAACACACCAGAGGCACACTGGTCCAAACCCATACATGCTTCTCTAAGGTCTCTCATAGCCAAATTCCACTTGTCAGGGTCTTAATTTTTGTCACAAATGCCATGACCTTTAAGGTGGAAATGCAAAAGAATTTCTACTGTGCTTACGCCGTGAGAAAGAATCAAACCCATTGAGTGTAAACACTACGCATTCTATGTGTTCCTCGGTCCTCCCTGCTCCTTCCAGACCAGCTCCCCGCTCTCTGGCTTCAATACACAGCTCCTCACACACATGGCATCAGAACATGGCTCTTTGTCACCACACTTATTGCTACTTCTCTACCTTCAGATCCGTCCTCACTCACCTCTTCTCTCCCCTGGTAAAGCTGTCACCATTGCAGACGTCATCGTCACACGGACAATTTCTACATGGGTCTGGCTTCTCGGTTTCTTGAACTCCTTACTCTCAATAATTATTACCTCCATTCTGTTTCAGATGCATTTCAGTAATTTCAGGCTGTGAAAAAACAACAAACAAGTACCTTCCTGAATTTCCATTTTAATCATCTAATTCTCCTACCTTATCCTATTTGTTTCCTCTCATTAATTCAACACCATCCTCCTAAGATTCCTTTAGCCACGGACCCTCAGATCATGTACCTTACAGTTTTTAAACTCTCATGTTCTTAACTCTCACATAGTATAAACCAGGTTCAAGGTTTAAGACCACAGTATCACCCCTGGTCAACCCATCTTCCCCATGGCAGCTGTGCATGGCTAAGTGGGTGTGTATGAGTCACTGAGAACCTTTTGAGTGATCATGACGTAGCCTGGCCACCGACAGGGATTCTCTGATACTCACTAAAGAGCATACTGATGGTTCACTGCTGTGCATGGGAATTGCATAGATCAGTAGGACGCTTTGCTTCCATTTAAAGAGTGTTATTTGGCTGACCTGGAGTGTTTGTGTATTTTTATTAAATAACAGAAACTTTGTAATGGTACAGTACCTACAAAGTGAAGCTCAAAATATACAATATGATCCCACTTAAATGAAAATATACCTATATGAACAAAGAGAGGAAGTACATAAATAGAGTAAGGTTTACATCTATTGATATATAGGCCTGTGTATATATTGTGTCAAATTTAAAAATTACTAGACAGTATGTAGAAGATACTTCTGCTCTGATTAAAAAGAGATATCTCCTTCATGTATGACATGTTTGAGTATAAATTTACGTGAGCCAAGACAAATCTATGGAAGGTTATAGATCAAGTTCACGTTCTAGTAATTCAACATAGTGGGATTGGAGGAAGGACTGAGGGGTGTTCCCCGGCCTTGTGTTACATACCGCTCTTTCTCACGTGTTGCTGAGGTAACTTGTGAAAAATTACTTTTCAAAATTCTTGCAAGGCAGAGGGCATCTTTTTTTAATAAAAGGAGGATTCTCAGCTATGAAGAAAAGAGATGGAAATCAGAGCAGGGAGGGGTGGTAAAGGCCAGAGACATGACTGAGTTTCCCAACACAAAGAGCCCTGGCGCGGGGCCCCATCCCAGGACACATGTGACCGTCGCAGTGACCTGCTGCGCAGAGCTGATGTTCGCCTTGGGGAGGTGGTTCCACTTGAATGACAGAGAGCAAGTCACTCTCCACCTGGTGGAGCCCAGAGGCAGGAGAAGCCCGGCCACGGTGTTCATAGTCACAAGGGTCTGGTTGGGTGAAGCTTCCTCCTGTCCACCCCACCCCCGCCATGGCCAC